AAAGGGCCTCATAACTCTTTTGTTTGGCTTTCTTTGCTTTCAGAAACATAAAAATGCCTTTGCTTGTTATCACTGTCATGCTCTAGGGAGGTCTCTGCTTTTAATTGTGCTTACCAAACCCCATGACATTTTATGCAGTCCTTGCTGTGATGTTTGCTTGCTTGTGCTCCAGTACTCTATGCCTGTTACATGTAAGAGTACAAGGAGGGAGCCCAAACATGTCGTGGTTTTGAGTATTAATTAAACTAGCAGATCTTAGGGTTAAATTAGAATTTAATCTGCAGGAAGGTAAAAACAGAGAGACAAACACAGCCCCACATGTCTGGCTGCTGGAGGACCCTGTGGAATCTGAAGAAGTGCAGCTCTGTTTTACAAAACATCTTGGCTGCTTCCAGTCCTTCCTGGGTGATAATAGCATTTAACCAAGTGTATTTCCAAAGGAGGTGTACACTGTTACTCCAGCTTTTGAGCCCATTGGCTACCATTGAGATTTTATACAGGGAATACCAGTTTTGGAATGCACCAGCACTGGTGTTTCCCGAATGGAAAGAAAGGCTTCAACCTCGGCAACACAATTCTGATCACCAGGGAAAATTACACTGAGAGCCACAGCTGGGTTTTCTTCCACCTTTTTGGACATGAGGCAGGCCCAGCAGAAACCCAGAACTGAAGGAAGGAGGCTTTGTTTCCTCTGTCCTTATAGCGTCTCTCCTTCCTACTGAAGCTGAGCACAACAGAGCTGTGTGTTACAGAGCACAGCGTTCACACTCTTGCTGCTGTGGAGCGAGTTAAAATGAGCATCTCCTCTTGGTGCAGTAACTTTCTGTGGCCCAAACATGCATTTATGATGTTGACATAATTTCTGTGTTAGGTATGGAAAATACTGAAATATCATTTTGAGTTAAGTGCAAAACCGCAGGCTTCAGTAACACAGAATTCAGCCCCAGGTTTTAGTACCTTGTGGTCTCCACATATTCATAATGTAACATCTGTAACTGTATGTGCTTAAGATACTTATCTAGATCTCCTGGGTGTACCACAGGGGAAGAATCCATGTAATAGGTTTTTCCGTGACAATTCCTTCATATTCCTTGGCAATCCCAGCTCTACAAACAGTTTGTGTCTTTTTTAGCTTATTTAATGAAGTGTTCAGGGACTTTTGATGTTGCTGCAACACATACTTAGATAATCACTGAAGAATGCTTTGGTTCCTCCCATGTCTTGTGCAGTGTGTGACTGCATCCCCTGCCCAGGCAATTCCGGAGTGCATCATGCTGTAAATTAGGCTGCAAGAAGCACAGGCATTGAATTTAAACAAAGAACAAACAGCCACATTGTTTGGAAAAAGACAGTAATGCTCTGAATTAGTGCTTATTCTCCTGTAACTTAGATGCTTTGGTCAGAGATGCTGCTCTATGCTTTACATTTTATCCATACAGTGTCCAGATGGCATTTCTTACACGTGTGCACACACACTCGGTGCACATATGCAGTTGCTTTATCACAGAAATCAGGGAACAATAGTGTTCAGAGTGTTTCAAACCAATTTGCCACATCAGACAAAAAAATCAGAGCAGCTACATTTAAAAAACTAGGCATTTACAGTAACTAAGCCTGAACTGACCTCAAACCCCTACAGTGCTGCTCTTGGGAAGTTTGGAAAAGGGCTGGCTCAGAATGTGGCACTCTTTTGTATCTACAGCTGCTTTTATTTTTATTTTACTGCTTGTTCCTGTACCTTACCTGTACCTCATATTTAAATGTGAGTGTGTAGGGAGGGATTTTCAGTGCCTGGAAAAGGTGTCAGAGGTTGATTCCTCACTCCTTTTCCTTTAACGTTGAACAGCACTATGAACATGGGATTACTGGACCGGATTGTTGGCTATGCAAAGTTTTATTCTTCTCAGTTGTTTCTGGAACAAAAAAAAAAGTTGCCTCCTCTGCTTTCCAGAGCATGAGCTGACGTGGCATGAAATATCTTCTGTAGAGTAGCCCAACGGTTGCTCTGTTGTGTGGTTGTAGTCATCTCCTAGCGACCACTGCCCTAGGCAAAAGTGAGGCCAAGCTCTGCTCTCCATCTGTCCATCTGATGTGACAGAGTGTTTAGCAACAGTTGAGCACAACCTTTCTGAAGGGGTAGGTTGGACTACACCTCAGAGTAGAAGTTAACGTATGGTATGTTCTGCTTCTTTTCCAGATGAAAACGAATGCCTCAGTGCACACATCTGTGGAGGAGCATCTTGCCACAATACTTTGGGAAGCTATAAATGTATGTGCCCAACTGGATTTCAGTATGAACAGTTTAGTGGAGGTTGCCAAGATATCAATGAATGCGGTTCTGCACAAGCCCCATGCAGTTATGGTTGTTCAAATACAGAAGGTGGCTACGTCTGTGGATGTCCACCTGGTTACTTCAGAATAGGACAAGGGTAAGGGATTCTCATTTTAAACTAACAGACGTAAAAGGGACATAATCCTCTCCTTTTGCTGTAGCGTGGAGCAGCAGAACCAGGGGGGTTCTGTCACCAACAGAAGAGGGATAAGATTGTGGAGGTGCTCAAGAGTTGGGTGCACATGCTGATTTTGGAGATGAGGGAGGGGAAAGGTAACCAAGGGAAGGGAGCAACATGGTTTTAATGCTTAATGGAATTTGGTCAGGGCAGCCAGGTTCAATCATCTCTTTTAAGCCACTGCTTTCACCTCCCTCCTGCACACTCCAACATCCAGCCAAGTTCTCTGAGCTTGCCACCTGGGAGCTCACACCCCCCTTGCTGAGATTTGTGGTGTATCACAAGTCCCAGGCCCCTGCCTGCTCCAAAGACAAATGATATTATACAAGTGGCTTCACCCACTGGCTGGAATAGCAGTTCTGTACGCTTTTCTGTTCTTGTGTGTTCCATATTCTTCTGTGTTCCAAATGAATCATTTTTTTAATAAATATCTGCTTTATCGAGGAAACCGATTTTCAGTTGTCCCAGCGGGAGTGTTAGGGCTGTGCAGCTTGTAGGACCAAGCAACTCAGATGGAAAGCAGAAAGCTTGTGGCTTGTATTTCAGAAGTGACTAAAAGCTTTGGGGTTATTAGGCAAGACCTCACCTTTCAGATTTTTTCAGCAGTTTCTGAAAATTGGTCTCTTTCAATGTGTTCCAGGTCGGATGACAGGAATTACTAACAACTTCTCAGAGCTTAAGCCTGTGTTTTTAAAACTGTTAAATATTGGCAGGTCTCTCTTAGGCAAAGCCTCGTGGAGCCAGGTTCTTGAAACCAGAGGTAGCTGCATTGTGATTCAGTGAGAGTTTTGCCTGTTGACTTCAGCAGATTTTCCTAGGAAAACAGTGCAACATAATTGCTTTATTATTTATATTCACAGTCACCCCAGTCCACGTTTTGGTAAGATCTGTGTCTCACTGGAATTAACTTTGGATTTCTTCCTTCCTCAGACACTGTGTTTCTGGAGTGGGGCTAGGCAAAGGTCAAGGACAAGAGCTTTCACTCAGTGGAGAAGTAGATGACAACTCCCTCTCTCCAGAAGCTTGTTATGAATGTAAAATCAATGGCTATCCCAAGAGAGGCAGGAAGCGCAGAAGCACTAATGAAACTGCAAATGAAGCAGAGGTAATTGACCCTTTTGGGGAGAAGGGGCTTGTGGTGGTCTTGGGAAAGCCAGTCTCGAAAGGAGGTGCACCAGGAGACAATCCCACAGCAAAAATGTACCCCCCTTACAAAGTAGAAAAGCTCATTGGAGAGCTGGATTTAGATGTTGAGCAGTCTGTGTGTGGGCTTTTGAAGTTGTTCACTGTCATTAGGCAAAGGTCATCCTCCTTTGCAAAATTCAAACTCCTTGAATTACCAGGGGAGTCAGTCCCATGTTGGCTTATTTCCACTTCTTGTAATCTAAAGTCAGAATTGCCCAGTCCCGTCATCCAGTCACAAGTGGCTGGATTTAAAACCTTGTGGTTCACATTATTTACATGCAGACTTCAGCAAACTGTAGAAGGGTTCCCAAGTCCATCGTCATTTGAATTCTCACTTCTCTGTCCACTCTAAGGTGACAGTGATGTTCCAGGTGATCTGCTCTGGCCTGACCACAGAAGCAGCAGGTCATGACAGGTCTCTAGACTATTCAGGTGAAAGTACGTCTGGGTGTGCAAATGTGTGTGTTGCATTCTAAATGTGATCAAGAGATGTTGAGCACTCTTGTAGAATGTTGCCACACAGTCACTACCCTGAGCTGAATGTCATCCATACCTTTGCTCCTGTGTATGTGCTGAAGGCCTTGCTTTTTCACGCACAAATACAGGGGATTTGGGATCCTGTTAGCTGTTCCCATTAGGTGCTCAGTGCATGGTGCTCTGCTAATACAGGAAGACAGGAGAGTGCTTTTGCCCAGAAGAGTGTGGACATTTGATTTTGGGCAGAGTGGGGTCGTAAACTGTTTCTTCAGTGTGTTTCAGTATTCTGTGATTAGTGCTGGATTTGTCTCAGATTTGCTGGATTTGACTTAGAGCTTCCCTTGCTTTCCAAATGAAAATGTTACAGCTGATGTGCTGCCTGAAATGTCATCATTTTGCCACTGCAGTGACCTGTGTGCAGGGAACTCAGGGGGGAGACCAGCTACCATCACTGGGAGGTGAGGGGTGATGCTCCCACTGAACCCACGGCCCCTCCCAGCTTCACACCCAAACAAAGTGAATCTTGCAAAGCAGAAAACTCCCACCTGAATGACAGCCTTCCCCAGACCCTGCACGCTGCTGTTCATGTCAGCTTGTGGCTCCTCTGGCAGGGAGGAGGAGTGCCCCTCTGCTGCTGTCTTTGTAGGAGTCCGGTGGCGGACTCCAAGCACGGAGCAGGGTGGTTTGTCAGGCAGCAGGACCCACACACATAGGCTTTCATCACATCTCAGGCTCCTTACCCATGCCGGAGCAGCAGCAAAGACTGTACTTTATCCTGACAAGTCCCAGGCCCATAGCAGCGCATTTGACAGATGACAGTACAGAACCTCCTTCTGAAAAGTATTTAATTAATAATGAATGAGCTGGGTGAGCAACACATACACACAGGCATGCATGGAACGCGCTCTGAGAAAGCCAACTGACATCATTTGTTCTTGTGCAGGATGAGCAAGAGCTGCAGCCGCCCATCAGTCTCGCCAGCTGGGATGTTGAGAAAGCAGCAGTCTTCTCCATCAACATCTCAGATCTCAGTAACAAAGACCGCATCCTGGAACTGCTCCCTGCCCTCACAACACTGACAAACCATAACCGATATTTAATTGACTCCGGAAATGAAGATGGTTTCTTTAGAATCAATAAGAAGGACGGGATAAGTTACCTTCATTTCACAAAGAAGAAGCCAGTGCCTGGAAACTATTCATTACAAATCAGTAGTATTCCACTCTATAAAAAGAAGGAACTTAACCAGCTTGAAGAGAAACATGACAAAGACTACCTCAGTGGTGAGCTGGGAGATAACCTGAAAATGAAAATTCAGATATTGCTTCATTAATTCATCAACCAAAGACCAAATAATTAAACCAAAGATAGATAGGTAGGACTGAATATTCCTCCCAATCAGATTCTCCATATCATAGGTACAGTCTTACATGAGTACATTTGTATGAATGAGCACTATTATATTATTACATAAACAAGGTACAGGATGAATACCCTAGCTCAAAACAACCACTTTCTCAGGCTTTTACGTGTAGCTGAGCTACCTTGATATGTTGAATCTTGAAAACTGGGACTTTTCTCCTTGGAAGTTGGCCACTGATGCTGAGACACGTCATCATTTCAGCAGAGGTACAAGAATGTGCTTTCAACTGATGGACAGCTCTATTTTTGTAATTCTTAAACTTCGCTTCTCCAACTACAACTTACTAGGTCCGCCATTTATGATATCCATTTGGTGCTAGTAAATTTTCAACCTAGATTTATAAATGCACTGTACTATTTACACAACTTAGAAGCCAAAATTGCCATTATTCAGTCTAAATACTTCAATCAACCAAAGTTAGCTCAGTAGTTTATCTCAGTTATGCCTATAATACATTACATGTAAATTAAGTGTGTGTATACTGTAATCATGCTATTTTTATCAATGAAGCATTTGTAAACTAGATTAATAATACCCTTAATGTGAGGGTTTGTAATGGTGCTTATAAGACCAACTACTTGTTAACTGTATACACAAACCTGATGATAAAGTTTCTGTGACTTGCCAAAATGCACTGAGGTCAGTAGGGACCATTAAACATTCTCAAAAGTCAGATGACAATCAGTGCCATCCTACACCATGACATTATGTAACGTGTCAGGAGTACCCACAGCCATTCCTATCAACAAGGGTTCAATGTCATAAATGTCACAATAAAACAGTCTTTTTTTTAGTTTATTCTGTGGCCTTGTGTTCTTGCTAGAAGTGTGAGGAGCCGCATGCTCACGCTGGAGGCACTGTCGGTAGGGTTGGTTCTGTATCTGACTGTGTTCACAGGTGATGTCTCCTTGCAAGTCTGCTGCTGCCATTTGCTCATTCTTCGTGCAAAGAACAACTGAAGAAAGCCAGAAACCGTCACAGATCTGAGCGGCAGTGGACCTCTGTCAAATTACTGTCTGGCTCCAGAGAGCGAGTTAGAACATTTCCAATGGCTTGACCTGAATAGTCCCGTCAATAAGTAACTGACAGCCAGAACACGCAGAAGTGGATGTTGTTATGCAGACAACACAATTAATTTGAGAAGTCTTCTTTGCTAGAACTGCCTTGACTTAAAATATTCCATTCTTTCACCCCTATTTCAATGGCTATTGTCAAGTAACCTAAGACTGGTAACAAAGGGAAAATCGAATACCAAAAACCATCACAAGCTGTAGCTGGGTTTTAATAGTAAGTAAATTACTTGATGGTGAGGGTGTTCTTGTATACACAAGTGCCATGGTGTATCTTTTAGCAGCAGCAGAATGTTGTACATAAAATTTGGAAGAAGCAATGAAGCAAGTGGTGTCACTGCAGCTGCTCTGTATTGGTACAGGGAACATACATCAAGATGTAATAGCTCTGGAAGGGAAATGCACTGTAATAATTCACCTGAAATTGTATTATTTTCTGTAATTAGACTTCAGCTCTCTGTTTTCTTCTGCATAACAAATATAACGATATGAAAAGGAGCTTGTGCACAGGGCTACTTTGATATTTTTAATAGACCATGCCTGGATTTTATTTATTAGTGTGCCAAAATGCTGAACAGTGTATTTTTTCCACATGTTGTGTAACTATGGTGAAATATAATCAGAACTTCACAGTTGTAAATGGCACTCCTGTTTCAGCAGGTTGGGAGTGATTTTTAGTGCCAGTGGCAGTGTGCAAGGTCATGCGGTTTAGAGCGAAGCATACGGTTTGAGTATTTTCTCTCCAGCCCTTAAACACTGAGGGGAGCTGAGAAGGGTGATTTCAGAAAGCGCTGTCAGAACTCTGCTCGGTGGAGCTGGCCCAGCATTTAAGCTGTTCTGTAACACCTTATCATGCCAAAGGTTCCGTGATTGTTTTCCAGCAGCCCCAGTGCTGCCTGCTCAGTTCTGCAAATTGCCTTTGTTACCTTGCAGAAACAAGAAATCTTGAGTCTCTTTCAGTGATTCAAAATGGAAATCCCAGTCTTGCTGTACTGAGATGCACATAAACCCCCATATTCTCGTTCAGTTATTCATCTGTTTGCAGCAGGGCCCTTTAACTGGTGTGTTATTTCTGCCTGTCAGTTTTGGTTGCTGTATGTGTACAATTATTTACATTAGTCTGAATTTCTGCAGTTTCTTTGGCGTTTCAGTGAACCACAAACTCTCAGAACAATATTGCGTGAGACCTGCCATTAAAGAGTGGTTTGTAGCCTACAGTGTGATTTTTAAACCATTCCCTGTGTTTATTTGATGGTGGGATCCCAGAACAGCTCTAAGCACCAGTCAGCCTGAAGCAGGGGCCTTTCTGAATGCAGATCCTTTTGCAATTAAAGGATGTTTCTCAAATTCAAGGAAATGGTTGAATTTCCAACTGTTTGAAATAACTGTGGCTTCCCTCCACTGTGACTGTGCAGAGGGCTCGTTGATTCATGTGTGGATAATAAATAGAATTTTTGATGAACAGAGTTTAACACAGATGGCTTGTTACTGTACATGTCAGATCATGCTCTTGTTGTGTGTTGTAACAGTACCTTGTAAACTTGGCGGCTGACATGTATCTTGGCAGAACATGACTGTTTCCAGTCTCCTTTTAAGCTGACTTTCAAAGGACCCGAGGTGTTTGCTTTCCTACGGCAGGTCCCAAAGGGTCGGACTCAGGTTTTCTCTAAGATAAACACGCTGTGATTGAAGTTCAACTTTGTGCTCTGGGAGAGCTGGTCTGGTCAAGACTTCTCCACACAGAGAGGCCTGAGCTGTCTGAAGAGCAGGACGCCAGGGCTATTGCCTCACAGCTGCCTAAGCCTTCCTGGGACCCAGTTTGGGCACCGCCAGTCTCCTACACAGGTAAGTGCAGTACTAGACATCCCGCTGCTGCTCCAGGCTGGGCTGAGGATGGTGGTGCTGGCACTGCAAAACCCTTCTCACCACTTTTGGAAACTGACATTTGCTGTGAAGGGTTTGTAGGATTCCCCCTTTAAACTGATGCTGTGCTTGAACCATTAAAGCCTCTCGGTGCTCTTGTGGATCTGATGGTTTCTGCCAAAGCGAGCCAGGTTTAAGAGCTTACATCATGCTGCAGCTTTCTGAGTAGGCACCAGATGAGGAGACAGCTTCTCTTCAACTTCACTGCTGTGACAGGAAGATTCTGTGGTTTCAGTCATGCTGGGGAAGCCAGAGTTCAGCTGCCGACGAGGCCAGGGCTGCCTATGGAGCTGCAGGAGCTGTGTACCCATCCCAATGCCCCTTCTGCCCTGTGCCAGGTAGGACAGGAGCTAATGGGGCACAACAGCATCCCAAAGCCAGGAAGCCTGGGCCTAAGTTCCTTCCAACTTCACCCTGCCCCCAGAGCAAGCCTCTAAGCTTTTCTGCTTTGGTTGGCTTCATGCTTGCAGGAGTGGCCAGCAGCTAAGGCCAAGATACAATGTACAGCAGGTTAATCCAGTAAATCCAGGTTGGCAGTGTCCTACCAGTGTGATCACCCAGAGTAAGCCCTCATATTGTCACAATCTTAGCAGAAAAATACTCAGCTAAAACTCTGCTGTTTTTAAAATCCCAGAGCTCTCAGTTGTTCCCTGTGTCCTGAGCATGTTGGATGCCTGCAGGACCCCATGCAGCCCCTGTGTGAGCTCCCATGGTTACACAGGAGGCTCTGTGTGCAAACTGCACCGGCAGTGCGGATCCAGGGTGTCCTGTTAACTGCAGAATCACTCTGGTGTGGATGCTGTGAAAACTTAGGACAGGGCAAGCAGGCAGCTGTAATCTGGGGCAAAATATGCCATCATTCACACTAATGAGAACGCCAGTGATGACAGGTTGCAGCAGTAGCAAAAGGGAAAGAAAATGGGAGGGGGGAGAATGCTGCAGTTGCTTAGTGGCCCAAAACGCCACAGTGCACGTGGCTTGTGCTTCGCTTGGTGTGCTGGTCCTCCTCCAGCCCTGGTGCCTTGTGCTGTTCCTGAGCTGTCGCTTGCAGGTCCCCATGCAGATGCTGCAGCAGTGCCCCCGCAGCCGGGGAAGCACCACCACTGCTCTTGGAGCAGGCAGAGCACTGCTGGTGCTGGGAAGGTGGAGGTGGTCAGCGGCAGGTTCTGCGGTGCTGCTGCATTCAGTGTGTGCTCCACCAAGGTCCATGATGCCCCCAGAGGCTCTGAGAGCAATGCCCGGAGCCCATGGGGTGGGCTGTGTGCTTTGCTTTGCCTGAGGATGAGACCCTCTTCCTGTGCAGCAAAGACCTTGAAGATGCCAATGATTTCAGCTCTGACAAATTCCAACGATCTACTTCGACCTTAAAACTTGCCAAAGATTTCACACCCTCAGAACAAATGCTTTTGAGGAATATCACGGCCAAGCCAACTCCTCCGTTATGAGCTTCCAGTTGAGTTCAGCGGAGCAACCCTGAGGCCAGAGAGGTCACCAAAGTGTTTGCTTTCGTATTTCAGGCTCTCCTTTCCATTTCTAACATAGCCCTGCGCAGCACAGCCATGGCTGTGGAGGCCAGGGCTGCCCAGCTGGTGGGACCATGCTGGCAAAGCTGTGCTGTAGCTCCGTGTTGGTGCTACAGTCCCGTGTGTTCCCAGTGCTGCTTGTTAGCATCCAAGTCCTCAACCTGCTTACACACACACTCTTGTGTATGTAGAAATGCAGGTGGTTTTCGTAAGGGTCTAGTCAGGTAACTACATCTCAGTGCTTCCAGGCTGAAGTCACGCTGTGCTAAACCGTTGCTAACTACCCAGGAAGGGCTTTTTCTCCTTCCCTCTCTCGGGCTGGACACTTCCCTCACTCATGGGGGCCCAGCCCTTGCCCTGGCTCAGCTCTCACATCTGCAGGTTTGTTTGTTTATGAGCTTCTCTATGGCTCCCAGGGCTGTAGGATGTGAGCGCCTCACCGACACTCATGTTGAGCCTCGCTACACCCTTGTGAGGTTGGGATGTGTTTGTCATCCTTGTTTTACAGGGCAGGAACTGAGAACCAGATGGTTTGGTTTGGGAGAGCTCATAGGCAATGGCTGTTCTGCCAGGAGCAGCCCCAAAGAACTGAGGTGTCCCTGGAGAAGAGGACAAGGAGCCACATGGGCAAGAAGCCATGGGAACTGCCCCTCTACATTACAACATGTCCCAGATGGAGCCTGATGGAGCCCCAGATGCTCCCTGCATTCTCCAGAAAGCCAGAGGCATGGCCCCGTGCTCCAGCATCATCCCCTGGGGTACTGTGTCTGTAGGTACCCCACACAGACAGGATGCTGCCACTGCAGATGCAGCAGCACCAGTTAAAAATTAATAGGTTTAAAAACCAGAGTGAGAGTGTCCAGTAGTTCTGTGCTGGCAAAAAAAGACCTGTGGTAAGTATCCAGGTCAGCAGGCTGCGTGGAGATAATCAGAACTGACAATGCTGGTGAGCAGGACCCGGGCTCTGCCAGCTTCCCCAGCTCATCTCTGAGGCTGCTGGTCAACCAGCCAGGAAAACATGGCTTCTGTTTAGTTTTCTTTGGAGGTTGATCGTTTATTCCTCTCATTCCTATGTGAGGTGCTTCAGGGTGATTTTTCTATTTCCCCTGGTCTGCGACAACCCAGGAGACATTGGATTTTTTAAGCAGCTCACGTGGGACTGAGTCTGAGTGGAGCTGTAGGGCAGTACATTACTCAGCGGTGAGCTTGGACAGGTAGGAAAGCTGTCTAGACTCTTCTACTTTGCAGGGTTGTGTGTATGCTCGCAGCTCTGCATGAATGTGTTGTTATTGTAATCATAATAAATATGAGAGCCATGAGAAACGTCTATAACCAAACCCAAACCAGGTGAAGCTCCCCTGGTTTTGGGTTTCATTACAACCTCAGTTCTCCGGCCAGGTTTGTCGAGGTTCATGAACCTCTCTCTGAAGCTGGGCTCAGTTTCAAGCACTCCTGGACCAAGATTCAGGCAAATCTAGGCCAGGTTTCGAGCAAATTTGGAACAAATTTTTGGTGCCTAAGAGATGATTTATGATTTTAGGTTGAAACCATACAAACCGTGGATTCTCTGCTTGGTGTCGATCTGTAACCAGGAACTCTTGGCACTTTGGCTGAATTTCACTTTGATTTTGAATTTGACCATAAAAACAAAGATCAGAGGCAAGTCCCAGGAACAAACCACACAGAAACTGCTTCACAGGGTGGGTACCCAAAGCCCTGCATGCACTGAGCAGACACCTGTGGTGCTGCACCAGCAGTGGGGTGCATTCCCCCACTGCAGGTGATGCTGTGCATGTCTGGCTGGGAGTCTGACATGGCTCATGCTGCCCCAGCAAATCCTCCAAGTAATTAAGCCTTCCCCAAGCTCTTAATTTGAAGTCACATGTGCGATTTCCAAGCCTGGAGTGCACTGACTTCAGGTTTGGCTTATCCAGCAAAGATCTGGTCCATACTGTGCGTTTGCATTTTGAGGAGTAAAGTCAGCTAAGGAATCTACACAGGAGAACAAGACCCATCGTCTTCATCCCCACTCTGCAGTTAAACGTGGCTCGTATCCAAGTACACGGTGGGAAAATGGACTTTCTACCTGAATTCCTGAGATTCAGAGCAACACGGTACCAGTTGTCCAGCCTAGAGGTTCCTAACAGGGTTATGGGTCTCGGCTTGCTACTGCTGCCAGCTCTGCCACAGCACAGGTACCTTAAAGATGGAAAAGAGATCAAAAAGATACCTTAAAGAAGCTGCATTTCTCATGCAGATTTCTTTAGATTCATTCAGGCACTTTAAAGGGAAATTCAGACATAAACTTGTCTTTATAAATAAAAAATATGTATCATCATTAAATCCCTTCATCATGATGTTCTTTGTGGATGGAAAATATTCGAGCAGGAGCTGGCTTCAACTTTCAGGCAAAATATGAGCAGCTGAACTGGGAATATAGAGAAGAAGGTGATAGCACAAGTTGCTGCTGCTTTGAGAAACGTGATAGGAGGGATGGGCAGGAAGAGAGGAGGAAGGTGCCAGCACAGAGCAGACGGGATACAAAGGGAACTGTGCTGTCAGCCTGCATTCACATCAGTGCAAGGCTGAAACAACAGGAAACCAGGAGAGAGGAGAGAGGAAATGAGCAGGACTGGCTTTGCAGGGTGGCTGCGCAAAGGAGGACTTGATGTCGATCAGCAGCCACCTGCCCTGGGAGTAGCCAGGCCCACAAGGCTGCCAGCCTTGACGCAAAGCCCTCCCCATCAGCTGGCACTCCTGAGGCAACCAGCACTTTAAGAAGGGCCATAGAGCTGTTCACAGGACTTTGGTAAGAAGAGAAAAAACCCAAGACCTACTGGGGCCAGATCGTTAGAGACTTTAGCAAGTATTGAGTGTAGATTATTAAGCTCTTAAAGACAATTCCTCATTTACTGAACTCCAAAGAAAAGGTTTAACAGATTTCTCATTCCACGTGTTTAAATTGTACCTGCCAAAGGCATAAACCCCCTTCACTGCAAGCTCTTCACTATCAGGTTTTTTTGCCTCCAATTTTCAAATCTGCTTCTGTAAAAGATGTCCCAGTACTTTTTCAAGATCTCAGTGTCCTCACAGCACTGGGGAGAAGTACTCACAACAAAGGATGTAAAGCTCAGAGATCTTCTATCTGTTAGTAGAGCTCTTACATCAAAGCAGCACAGAGGTGAGATGTTGCCATGTATTAGACCAGCAATGGTCTCTGCTCTTGGGGTGCAACTGTGGTGTGACACATCATGAGGTCAGAGCTGGAGAATCCCAAGTGGAGCTGCTGTGTGGCATGGCAAAGCTTGGCTGAGGGATGGGTGGAGGGCCCCAGGAGACCTGGTCTTCATTTTTTAAATCGTGTATCATGTCTGTGTTGCATGGATTAGGACTGAAAGCAGCAGCCAGCAATGAGAGGAAAGGGATTAAAAAAGGCTGACAAATGTCTGCTACATGTATTCAGAGCAAAGACAAGATGCTGCGTACCAGGAAGCTCTTCAACAAAGCCAGCTCGATGTGAACTTGCCCATTTATGTCATTGAGGAGATTGAATTTACTGATCATGGTGTCATCCATACGTATGTCCACTGTGCACTCTGATATCCCAAAATATACTGGAAACAAGAGTGTTTTCTGCTCTGCAGTGACAGCACAGCTAAAACTCTGGGAGGAACTTGTGGGTCACAACGTGATGGCCAGGCCCAAGTCTGGCAGGAGTTGCACAACCCGCTGGTGAAAAGGCCAGTTATTTGTCTTGGGCTCATTTGTGCTAACAAAGAGCACAGCCTTGAGTTCCCCACAGACCAGCCTGGAATTTGCTTAAAACCAGAGAAGTGGTAAAGGATTTAAGCAGAGAGACCTCTCCACCAGCCCTCTAAGCATTAAATACCTCATGTCCTGCATGATCTCTAACCAGGAGCAGCCCTACAAGAGAAGCAGCTGAACATCGTGCTTTGAGCACCAGATGGGAAGGCAGTGTGAAAGGGAAAGAAATGCTGGCTGTGATGTCAGCTGAACCCCTACCTCTTCAAAAACTGCAAGCAGCCGAACTCCATTTGCTGTGAGTCTTGGCGGTGCCACCAGCCTGTCCCAGCCATGCTCTTCAAATCTACTGCTACAGCATAAAGGAAAGTGAAACACCTTCAACTGCCATGTTAATGCACAAGTTCTGTTCTGTGTGGGCATGGATCCTGATACTAGCTGTTGCCTCGTTTTTCTTTCCCTGGAATTAGAACAAAAGTGGAATCCAAGAGTTATTTTGTGTCCTGTTAGCCTAGATTTGTCCAGATCTGCCCTTCTTATGTAGATACCTTTAGCAGCAAGGAGGTTTGCTGGAGGGTCACCCTGCATATGCTTCACTGCTCCAAAAACATGTCAGCAAACTGATCTCTCTTGACCCAGGGTCCTGCTCAGAAGAGTTGGATTAAGTTTATAAAGTGCAATAAGAAAGATGATGGTTGATCAGAGTAATATAAACTATGGCATGGAAAATGAATTTTGAATGAAATGCTCAGATAAATCATTTATCCTCACCAATACCCTCTCGATGTTTCTTATCCCAGTAATTGAGACCATGTGTTGTGCTGCAAACAATAACTATGGGAAATTACTCATGATTCTTCCTTCATAAACTTGGGAAATGAAAGTGATGGGAAGTATGATCATCTTAATTTTTATTTTTTTTTTAGGTTAACAGCTCTAAATTATTAGGGTGGGAAGAAAATGTCAATAGAATATAAAAGTGCTTTGTATAGTGTTCACATTTGCTCATACTTTCAAATCCACTGTGGCTTATTAGTTCATGGGAAAAATGACAAAAAGAAATAAAACCCAGAAAATGAATCCAGTATCAACATCTTGCCTCTATAGTAACAGAGAAATTGTAACTTGTGGGTAAAATTGACAATATTAGGAAACGCTTGTTGGGCAATTGTGGTGATTAACCCTCTCCTTCCCCCCGTACCCTCCAGTTCCCCCAGAGCCTGACACAGTCCTACGTTGCTCTGTGCTGCTCCCTGCATCAGGAGCCTGGAGCTAGTGAGGCCTTCACCTCTGTTTCAAGAGTTTATTGCTCAGCTGTAAAAATTCTCCTGGGCTGGAACCTGACAGAAAAATGTCTCTGCCTGGGAGGAGGTTCTGTGCTGAGTTTGGTTTGAATTAGGTCAGCCCTTTCCCACTTGCAGTGGGACAATGGAACAGGATTCCCTGTCTCCTTTTCTGTTTAAATCAAGTGAACAGGCAGTACACATGTCCGGCAGCACTCAGCCCACAGCTCTCTGCACAGCTGTAGCACAAGGTCAGTGCTGGCTGCTGCAGCAGTTTCCCTGCTCTGTAATAGCCAGAATTCAACCCTTTGCTTGCACAGATGCTGGCTCACGCAGTGGCTTGTGCCGCCTCTGTGCTGAGGCTGCTCAGGGCCAGCTTGGCCACAGTGCAAGCAGGGGAAGTCCACCCTTGCTGTTATTGCTCAAGGGACCAGCTCACTGTGATGCAGAACCACCCGGGCCAATCCTCTGGGGGACTTTTGGCTTCTCCCAGAGCTGGATGGCATGCATGTATATCCATCCATGGTGGAGGCACAGTCAGCCCCGCTCCACCCTGTGTGTACAGTGGAGAACCATGTGGTAGGTTTCCCAGATAAAGGGCTTGGCTCAGGGAAGCTGCTCCCTGCAGACCTTCTCATGAGCCAGGGGATTCATTTCTAGAAGCAAGAGTGTGAGATCTATTACACTTCTGCATGGGCTGCCTGCGGGGCTGGTAAATCTATTATAACAGTCAACGCTTTATGAATGAAGTCTGGCCCCACCAAAGTCAATGGCAAAACTCCCATTGATTTCACTGGAAGAAGATTTACCCCGAATCCTCAACGTGCCCCTGGGATCTCACCCATGCTCAGCACAGCCATACACAGCTCCAGTGGGGGGAAGGAGAGCAGAGCGCAGAGAAGGGCCTTGGCGCTCCCCCAGCTGCACATGGGTCCTGCTCAGGCAGATGTGCTGAGAGTATCACTTTGGCAATGCTGACAGGCCTGGGTGTGAGATAGGTGTCATGCAGCTGAAGTGGCTGATGGAGATACTTTGGCACAGAAGCAGAGCTTTATAAATCAGTGGAGCTTTGCCCTGAGCTCTCAGAGGGCCAGAGCATAAGTAACAAACAAATAAAAATGTCTATGGATGGAGGGATGTCCCCCCCGCCCAGGAGTGCCTTGACGCTGTGCCAGTAATCCAGCCTCCATAGGCACTTCTCTGTGTGCATTTAATTGACTCAACAGCTACTTGATATCATCCAGAACCACTTATAAAATTAAATGTTATTAAACGTAAGGGCAGACTCATAATACTTGCCAATGCTTATTTTAATAATGATGCTATGCTTGCCACTCCACAGATCTGACCTGTCACTTGAGAACTCAAATGACCTGTAGCTTAACATGTTTTATCCACCTATAAATTCAGGCAGGTTCATTAGCTGGACCTGGCATGCTATGTCATATTCTGTCCAGCTTTTTTACAACTACTTAATTACTTCCTGCTCATACACTTTCCCATCATCCCAGCACGCATGACCCCTGGTGACAACATTTTCCCATCTACCAGAGTAAATGAACAAGATCAGCGTTTTATTCCACAAAACAGAGCTAAGGAAATTAATTGCTGTTATTTAATAGCTGTTGGAGTGGTTTCTTCTTGTTTTGCTTACTCTCCCATACCTTACCATTTGCTAAGCTGACCAAAAGGTTTTCTCCATGTTTGGATTCAAGCAGTGTTTTTTCTTTGACAGCTACTTCAGTCCCCCTCCCACTGATCACAGGTGAGCTCATCTCTAAGCTGTGCTGTGGGGTTTCTGATATTTGGAGCTCTTTCAACACTGATATTGGGGTGGGAGCTCAAATCTGAAATAAAAGCAGTCTAGCACCCTAAAGGCACGGCTTGTACGTGGATATTTTTGATGTCTAGAAAAAGCTAAAGTTCAGCCAGGTTTAGTCCCCACATGGACAAAGCATCAATTGCAGCACCTTCCCATTTGCTGCAGTCTAATCCAGGTGAAGCTCATGATGCATCCTTTCATCTGGGTGGCAACTAAACCAACTTCTCCTTCACTGCCTGCTTTCCTCAAAGGCATACATGAGCTCAGGAGTTGTTAGACATTTACTGCTTGGTTCAGTTTGGCTGAAGCTGACTACTGGCTTTGTACTTTTACTAGAAGACATTCAAGCACACATATGGAGAAAGCAACTGTGAGTATTAAAGTTAGCTCATGGCCTATAGCCACTGAAAAAGTTCAGCTGTACAGCACTTGGCTCAATTTCAAGCTATGCTGTACGAGGGTTCCTTTCCACTTCTCCCTCTCATTATAGAAGCTAATTAGGAAATCATTTCCCCCTTCCTTTTTTTTTCTGTTAAAGTGCTGCTGTAGATGTCTCTTTAAAAAGAAAAAAGCGTCCTTTGACCACCTTGTGCTGAGATACTACAGAGGTTCTTACTTATAGCCAAATACATACAAGGGTGGACTCTGAAAATCAATCCATTATTCTCTTTTCCCCTTTTGCTCCTTTGCATGCACACAGTTTCTTTCTGCTTTTTATAGTCATTTCACTGACTGTTACATGGCATGAGAATCGTTGCTCCAGGGAATGAAATGGTGCCCAAACTTATTCCACCTAGCCTAGCATGTGAGCTCCTTCACGCTTTTCCACATCACCCAGTCCCTTTAGGCCAGAAGAAGCTGGTGGCATAAAGTCAAATTTCTTTTCAGGATGGATAGACATATAAACTGACCTATTAACTCTCAGTACTGTGTGGTCTAGTATAAGCACTAAACAAAAAGCACTTGCTTCTTCTCCTTTGCAGAGCTGGCAGGAAGAGGCCCTGTGTGTAATTTACTCTGGGACCTGATTTTCAGGATGTTGAGACAGAAAACAGTTAACATCTATGCCTGCCACATTTGTGGGTAGGAAAGGGTGAGCTCTGCTTAATGGCACCTGGAGCTGGAGGAGCTCAAGTAATTGATTTAATTTGAGCAGCTGCATGAAATAGATCTTACTGCTAGCTCTGAAGTTGAGAGGTAATTGCAAAGTGTGAGAGAGTGAGGGGTTAAATAGAAAGTAACATATTCTATGAAGTCCATAGTAAGTACATGTAACCCTTGTGGCTCTATCTATAGATATAGGTAGATATCTATACCTACATCTATCTATATCTATATCTACCTGATTTGGGAAGCTGAATGTGTTTATTTGCTCATCTCAAGCAATAAAAATCTCTTTGTCCCACAGAGTAGCAGTCCAGTGGTGTTTAAAAAGTTACTTCTTCCAAAATTAGTTCACTTTTTTACAGATGCTACTAGGATGAGTTGCAGTTATAGACTGAATAAAATCATTCTAGACTGAAGAATAGCCATTTTCAGATAAATAAGATAATGTAGTGAATATAACAGCTAGCTGGAGATATAACAGTGCTAGGACTAAATTCTTCACTGATTACTGTGCAAATCGCATACCAAGAAAGATTGCTGATATTGCAATATTCAGAGAAGAATGATCTACTGTAAAATAACTTCCTAGCTTAGATTTTTATAGTTTAACACTTAGAAACCTGTTTCAGAAAGCAGGTTGTTAGAGAGGACTAGCAGCTCTAGCAGAGGGTCAGAGGGCAGGGAGACATTCAGTGAACTTTCCCTGCAAGTTTCCAGTCATTGCATTCAAACTGTCTTTTATTTTGCTGTCATTTGTCTGGTATATTCATGGTGATAACTAAGGGTTGCTTTTAAAATTTTGTAGTGCAAATATTCCCTGCTTGGTTAAAAAAAAAAAAGAAAAAAGGTCTTTTTATAGCCTTAGGTAATTGCATGAGCAAGAAATTACCTTAGAGCAGCCTTCCAGGACCTAAAAGGGGCCCTACAGGAGAGCCAGAGAGGGACTTTTTACAAGAGCATGTAGTGATAGGACAAGGGAGAATGGCTTTAAACTGAAAGAGGCAGAAATTCTTCCCTGTGAGGGTGCTGAGGCCCTGGCACAGGGTGCCCAGAGAAGCTGTAGCTACCCCATACCTGGCAGTGTTCAAGGCCAGGTTGGATGGGGCTTGGAGCAACCTGGTCTAGTGGAAGGTGTCCCTGCCTGTGGCACGGAACTTGGAACTGGATGAGCTTTAAGGTACCTTCCAACCCAGAGTAGTCTATGATTCTGATTCTTATGACCCTGGCAATTAAAGGTAGTTAGCAGCAGACTGGCTGGTGTGAACATCTGCAGGCAATAATTACAGCCTGTTCTCATTCCCCTACTTTGTGGGGATATGTGGTATTGTTGAGCTGGCCTGGTGAAGAAAACATGATCACTGTGGTCAGGATTTCAAGCTACTGAAGAAGATGCAAGTAGGTCCTGTCTTCTATTCTAAGCTGTTGAAAAGATAGCTGGGCAGAAGTCTTTCTTTGCAGGTTTTGAACCAGTTTAGTTGCTAAAAGAATATGAGAAATAAAAATGAGCCATGTGAAGCCTAAGTTCAAGGAACAATTCAAAAGACCCTTCTAGCTTAGAAAAAGACTAATCTGATTTTCTGAAATGATTTCTCAGGGAGAGCTTTGTTCTACCAGTTAGGCATGTAGTGCAAAAGGAACTGCTCTTTATCACTGCTGCTGTTTGGTTTATGGGCTGAAAACAGCAAGTGAGAAGGCATGATATCCAACCTGAGAATGACACTCCTCAGTCACAGTAAGGCAAACAGTGCTTTGCAGTGCTAAATCCCATCTTCTCTCCTCTCCTTGGCCTGTTCCCCACCAATGGGGAAGCAGCCATGGCATGAACTTCACTGACAGATTTCAGAGGGCCCTAATGTCTATATACACTACATGTCAAAGGTTGCAGATTCCCTTTTCTTTTTGCATTATGTCTGGCTACCAGAAGGGGATTTAGTACTTATTTGTGTGCTGATAATTAAAGTGTTTGTGATACTGAAGGACAAATCACCCTCCCCTGGAAATTAAGCACTCGTGTTACAACCTCTTGATCCTTAGTGAGTATTACATTAGTCAATTTGTGGCTAGCCCAGTAACTCAATAGCAGTGAATTATGCAGTTATGTGGGAAATCTGGTTTTTGGAACAGGCTGATGTTCCCAAGCTCAGGCCCAGCACTGGTAGGGTGTGTCATCTGTGGGAGGCACTTAGCGGAAAGAAAAAGCTGCGAAGCCAGAGTCTAGTGCTTTCTGGAGGACAAAATATAGCAGCAGTATTACATTAGGGTAAGAATGGGAACAAGCGGATTATTTCACCACCAGAACATTTCTCTGCAGTGGGCAACTGGTTGGTTGAACAGGCTTTCCATTGACACGATGTTCAATTACATGTTTTACTAATGACTATTTTAGGTTTAGATGTGAAAGGTTTGAGAGTGGACTTGTGCTGACTGATGTCCTGTCTGTACCTGCAACTCCATGCTTAAAAGTTTTACAGGACCCAGTATAAGTCACTGGAAAAGACTATTCCATTTCCTTGGGGGATGAATGAAAGAAACTAATCATGATTTGTGGCAGAAGCAAGTCTTAGTCCTGGTGCTCACTTACACTTGTGCTGGATTTAATCTAGTGCTGGATTAGGTAACTGTCAGAATCTTAGCCCACCATGTCCATGTCAGTCCAGACTGAAGGAAGGAGGGATGACATCTAAGGGCCCATGACTAAAATACATCTCTTTGCACTCTAAAAGTAGTTCTGTTGTTAAACTCTGGTCTGAGCGCCACTGATTTCAGCAGTCAGGCTCTCACTGTATTTTTGAAGATGGCAGTACCTTCAGTCCTTACATACCAGCCTGGTGCTTCTTCGTGTTTTCTAACACATTCACAGTTCAAATTTACTCTGGAAATTAGGGACAAAATCAGACTGTGATAAAGCCAAGTGATAATCTGCTGAAGTCGTAGGAAAAAATCAAAAGATACCAACAACTTATTTGTTACCAAGTGCCAGACTCTGCTCTGCCTTGCGTACCTGTGCAATTTGATTTACTAAATAACGGGGATGTTGGCCTGTGTGAACCCCTTGCTTTCAGCTCTGGAGAAGATTTTCTCTTCAGGACCATTCTGCGATAGATGGAAAGGTCTGGAATCTAAGATACCTTCCTAAGCCACATAGTGAGGTGCATTTTTGTGTGTGTGAGTCCCTGCGTTCCAAGAGACAGAATGGTATTGTTTTGTTTTTTTGTCTTTTATACAATAGCAAAAAACATGGCTTGAATTTTATAGTGATGTAAGTGAACACTTTGTAAGAAGTGCTTGAATTATTGTATGGCTGTGTCCAAGGCTACCATATCAAACGAGTCTTTCAGAGCTAAGTTTCTTGTCCAAGAACCCACCCAAAATTTTACTGTATGAGGTATGAAGCAATAACGGGACCCACTGATTCATCATTTGATGAAACCAGGAGTGCCTAGTATTGCCCAACGTAAGGTTACATAGGGCCCTAATGAAGTGTTTCTCTTGCATAAAAGGGAACAGATGTAGCCAACCTCATGAGAAACAGAGCTGTGACCTGCTGTGAGTTCCCATTGGGCAAAGTTTCTTTCAGATCTGAGAAGTTGCTCCAGCTGAGTCAGAATATTCCTCTGGTACCACCATGCCTCTGCAGGCTAGATATCTAAATTCAGATCTGGGTTGCTGTAGGCAGCATTCTACCATGTTTCATTTAGTTACTGTATTGGCAAAATATCTGTAGACTTTCCAAACTGCTGGAAACCTGACTGCTAGCTGAGGAGCTCTGCTCTACAGACTAACAGAAATTGTCCACAGACTGGTTCTACCGTCAAGGCTTGTGGTATATGTCACATAGGCAAAGTGACAAGGCTTGATACGCCAAGTTTTGGACGACAAGAGGTATTTTGAGTCTTCCTGCTGTACTTTGAGCTAGAAATGTAATTGTGTTTGCCCCAGAAGTAACCTGATGGCAACAGGGTAAAGCAGAAAGTCTGGTGTTTTGACAGTGGAATAAATGTGAGAAAGTGGCTCTTGTGAGCTTGTACCAGTCTTAACATAAGGATATGCTGTAGTGAAGAGAAAGTACGCTTCTGACAGTAACAGACTAGGTGAAGAATAGAAAAGAAATACTAACAGGTTTGTTGCTGAGTGAGGATTTCTAAGTGTGTTTTTGCATCTCTTAATGAGCTAAAGTCTTCAGGCCAGAGCTTATAAATCCAAACAATAACTTGGGTAAACAGTACAATAAGTGGTCGTGTACTGTATTTCTTCTGCGCTGAAGTACGCAGCATGCTGACATCCATTCCGGTTACTATGTATTGATGCAAGTGTTTCAGGGAACCTGGTGTTAAGGGCTGCGATAAACCCAACTGGCATGATGGGGCATGTTCCCACTGGCATTTTTGTTGCCTGTCACCCCATACCGGTGTTGTTTGTTCAGTGGTGTTAGTTACTCTGAGTTCCAAACCAGATCTTTATTAAAGCTTCCAGGAAAGCAACAGCACAGTGGATGTCAACAGGGCCTTCAGCATCAAAGCCACAGAATAAAATTATAGATGGAAAAGACCCGTTAGGTCATCTACTCACCCCATCAGCCAGTGCAGAGCTGTTCAGTGTGGTGTGCTTTTTCCCTTCTTTGTCTGCATCAAGCCAAAGGGGTTACCACAGCTTCCCAGGAGACTGTGACATAGCTGACTAGTTCTTGCCCTTAGGAATAACTTTGAGTCTGTGAAATAACAGAAGCATTCTATGTTTAATTTTGGTGGAGGAAAGGAACTCTGAGAGCAGGACCCTGAGCCTTATGACTGTATTGTATCTCAGATATAATTCTATGTTAATCACTTCTTCTATATAGATCATATGAGGCTAAGTGTGTCCCACCCCACATCTGTCTCTTTCAGTAATTATTCCTTAGACATATTTTGTCATCTTTCAGTAGTAAGTAGTGCGCAAACCATGAACAATTGCATTTCACTTGGCAAATGTTTGGAATTTGCCCTAACTAGTGTTTGAAGTGTTTTGTCTGACTCTCACTCCTTTTAATTGTGCCAAAGTTCTTTGGCAATTGGTGATCTGATATCCCAGAAACCCATAAAAATTAATTCCAACATATTTTCTTTAGGTGAATTAAAAACACTCAACAGATGTTTACTAAAAACAACTGCATTTATAGATACAGGACTCCTGACAGCTATTGATTTAAGACTTCCAAATGTTTTCATTCAAATCCCTTGGGCACCTACTGTTGATAATTTGTAACTTTCTGGCATCTTGGTCTCTTGCAAGGAAATGCTTCAGACCAAATATCTGAATGTGCTTTTTGACCTTGGGTATTGGGCATTAACAACCATAAATCCAATTTTTTTTTTTCAGAGGGAATAAAATACTTCCATAGCTATTAAAACATGAAATCCTCTATGTGCATACAAACTGAATTTGACTATGGTGATAGTTTTAAAGCAATGCCAGTACCCTTGGTATTCTGATGAGGGCTACATCAGTTTCACAGCTCTCAGCCACTGAAAATTATATCTAGCATGCAGGATAACTTTAAAAATGCTAGCTGTAGAGCTATGGAAGGCCATGACAAGTACCATTTTGTGATTGTTTGAGTTGCGCTTCACACAATGAGTAAGAATTCAGAAAAAGCCTTTGTCTGCCACTTTGGCTATGGGGAAAAGGGGGGAATCTGAATACCCAACGTCTTTGTTAGCAGTTGGATGTCACTTTCTTTTGTTTAGCTTTGCACAGCACTCTGTGTAATGTAGGAATATAATAAAGCTTTGCCAGCAACAGCACCAGACTTTATGAACACGCACAGGCCAGTGAGACTATATAACGTACTGTATCATAAGGCAGCAGTAGAAGAGGCAACCTAATAGACCTGATGGAGTTGTAACAAAAGGGTTTTCCCTAGGCTATTGGCATATGCTTTATAGTGCTAAACCAGGAATTTTGCTCTTAGGCATTAGAATTAAAATTAGACCTAATTTGTAAGAATTTTTCCTTTGCACCAGTTAAATAGACCTTAAATTATTTCTCTACTGTTCATTAGAAATAAGCAAGTTTCACATGAATCTTCCAACCTCCTATTTAAACACTCCTACCATTGCCTGCTAGCTGATGGTGCACCTGGAAAATGAAAGTTTGGCAAACCAGAAGGCAGAGATCAATGAGCAAAGGCATGAGGGAAAAACATCTTATCCAGGGAGACCCTAAGGGATCATAAGGTATGAATTAAGCCTTGGCTTTCTCCACATCTATTCTATTTGTACAGTAATAAACCCCAATATCATTCCTAACCCGGGTTAGTACCAACAACACAGTGTCATGATTAACAATCCTACCACAGCCAGGCAGCCATGATGTCAATGTTGTATTGTTTTTTGCTAATCTGTGGCTCTAGAGGCACTCGGTGTTCTCCAACAGCTCCAGTATATCGGAAGCTGGAAGAGTAACCAATTTGCTGGGCAGATGTGGCTGCATGCTGCGTTATCAGTGCATGTTGTTGCACACCAGCCCAACACTGGGAAAAAGTTGACTCTTCCAGACAGCCATGGCCGTGGCTTTGCATGAATTTCTTCAGCCTGAATGCCAGCTTAAACAGAGCCTAGCCCTCTCCTCATCCAACTGTTCTATTGTTTTGGCAGCTACCCAAAAATTCTTGGAATAATTGCAAATGATTTTTCATTTAGCTTGTATGCAATGATTTTTCATTTAGCTTGTATGCAATCCTGGCATCAGTGATCATTTGCATGTTTTGATATATACATAGCCATGCCCTCAACACATGTTCTGAGCATTCGAAGAACAAACTTCAGGAGTAGGGGGACAGAGGTGGAGTCCAATTAGTTGTTATTGTTATTAGTGTAGGTTCTTACAGTTTTAAAATCAACTTAATTAACAGAAAATGATGATGCAAAAATAAATAGGCAGGTCCTATTGGCAAACAGGTGCCCAGGATCAGACAGGACTGAAAGACCCAGAATCCTGTAGACTACTCAGAAGTGCCTGAGCTGTGTTCTTCTGCTCAGTCTAGGCTGTCCCATAAATGCTAAGCATCTCAAAGGTTATCCAAATAAAAAGTAAATGCAAAGAGTGGCTACTTCTCCCACACAGCAGACTTTCAGCCTGCTCAGGATACAATGGTGAAAGCTTGCCTTTGGACTATTAGTCAGGCTTACTCAGCTGGCATTTGGGAAAGTTATGAACAGCAGTCTGGAGGCTTTGTGCAGGTGACCTGGGGTGGGACACAATACATGTCATGCTTCCAGAAATATGAAGCCCTTTTTACAGCTGCTCTTAAAGCCTCTCTCAGCTAGAAACTGGTATCAAGATGTACAGTAACGCACTTAGGTGATGAATTATGCTCTGACAAAAATAGCAGTACTTAGCTGCCACCCTGGTGCAGCAGTTTGGCTTTTCATCTGGCAGCAGTCTTCCAGGCAGTGAGGTTTACCCCATTTTTTCCTGGATAACTTTTAATATTAACCATATCAATTAAACTAGTAAGACAAAAAACAAACCCTAACCCCCTCATGAAACCAAAAACCCACAAACCACCAAATCAACCAAAAAAACCCCACCCCAAACAAAAAAACCCTCACCAAGATGATGAAATGTGAGCTCAGTCCATTCTGACTCAGCTGTCTCCTCTTCAAATCCAGGGAGGGCAATGAGTTTTCTCTGTTGCTGGATCCATGATTTGTTGGCATTGTCACAGCTCCCTTTTCAGTTTTCTCACAATGCTAATGCCTTAATGCAAGTTAAGAAAGGTAAGAACAGGACTGAAACAACATACCTTTTCCCCTAACAAGAACCTCCTCCTTTTCTTTAAGACTGCTGCCAGCCTATGTATTGCTATGATACAGTGTTATAGGATAGAAAAATCATTCTTGCAGAATTTAAATGGCTTGACTTAGCTGTACTGCTGATAGTTCGGCTTGCTGCCAGCAGTAACTTCTACATAGAAGCATAGGAAAGTGAGACTCGTGTTTTGCGTTTGCTGCTGTGAAAACCTGACAGTGGTGTTCCTTGATGTGTTACTGCACCCTAAGGAAGGGTACCTGCAATTTGGCAGTGGCCAGGGTGCAAGCTAATGACAGCAAGAAGGTTGTGGTCAGGACTGAAGTGTATTAGCAAGGCAGCACTGGATACTACATACGGCCATGCTTGCTAGACATGGCACAATTAGCTTGGCTGCAAAGGAAAAGGCAAATTTTCTTCCAACTAGGACACATAGTTATTTTGTCTTGGACACTTGGAGACAACATTTCAGACTAGGAATCCATAAACCACAAAATACTCATGTTAAAAGAATGTGGCCGAAGGTACTACATTCATGACTGTTTGTTTTTTCTTTTTCCTTTTACAAAACAAAAGGAAATTGCTTTGCTGTAATCAATAGTAGTCAAAAGATAACTTGCTTCAGTTTGAGGATATCAGCTTTAAATATTAAGGCTACAAGCAATATTAATTGATATAAACCTCATATTTCTGTTACAAAATCTGCTACACAAATGCTCTGTAAAAGCCAATGATTATTATTACATTTTTGTGACATAACGGAAGAAAAAAAATAAAGTTTAAGGGAAAGAAATAAGTATGCCTTTGCAGCTCCCATGTTTGTTCAAGCATATTTTACGTATTAAAATACAGTAGTTACTTTCTGGATGAGGGTTCTCAAATTATTAATCTGTCAGGTTTTCCGAGCTGGCAGGGTAAAAGGTTCTCTTGCTCTCTTCTAACAGAGAAAAGGGAAAGCATCACTTTGGTGGTAAAGAGCTAAAATAACTACAAAGTTAATGGAGGGAAAATTTACGAAAATAATTGTGTTAATTCACTTCAGCCCTGATCCTGCAACCTTTTACCATGCAATGACATTTTTTGCTCAGCAGCAGACCCAGATTTACACTTTGCAGAATCACATCCATACTGACGTAGAGGTTGCCAAAGAGCTGTTGGTGAGGGAAGTGCCATGTGTGCCAGTTCTAGAAACCAGTAAGGCAGTACAGTCTGCCCTATATTTTCAGAGTTTTGGTACCTCACATAACTAGGTGCGAAACACTTGTATCTCTGGTTCTTTTCTTTGGAAGTGCAGTCATGTGCAATCAGGTGGAATAAGTATGCTGATAATTTTCCTTCAGAAATTGTAATGGTTAGTGATGTGGACACTTTTCTTTTTAGGCAGAAAACCATAAGGCACTGAAGCAAGCATTCACTTTTCTTGCACTTGAGGTCACAAATTTATGCAAGTCAAAAATGTTGGGCCTGCCAAAAACATCATGCTACACTCCACCAAATAAAAGGACACTGTTATTCTTACAAGGAAAGGTTTGACAGGACAGGAAATAGGCAGGGTCATAGAAGTTTACTTAATACCGAAACTTATTTAACCATCTTTAAGCCAAAATACAATGATAGTTATTTAAATAAAAATTAGAAGAGGAGGGGGAAAACAAGAATAAAAGAACACCAGACTGTGCTATTACGGGAGTAGCAACCAATAGAGAAACTAGAGAACCTTAATAAAAATTCACATAATTTGGGTTACTCTATGTCACCTGCCTTTACTGGGTTAACACATATTAAGTAAGTTTTAATTTATGTCCTGAACTTACAGCAAGAGGCATCTGATTTGGAGAATCCATTGCCATTTACAAAGCTATACACTACTTTCATTAAAATGCAATCCTTAAGGAAGACTGCATTCCACTTAAAGGACTGGCGGAAGGAGGACTAAGAAGAGAGTGAATATGAAAGATAGGAAAAATGTTGCTGTTCATTACAATTTTCCATTTTTGTTGAAGCGCAGCAGGAGAGCAAAGCCACAGGCTTCTCTACTGCTCTTGCATGCCAGGAGGGATTATGCAAACACTGCAACCACCCAAATCTTATTTAAATTATAGTCATTGTTCCCCCTTTAATGGTTATACTTTTGCCTGCTTTCACTCAAATATTGCTGCATCTTGCTTTCTGCCAACATAGTCCCAATGGGAGTCATCAACTCTTAATTATAGATGAACAGATATTTTTTTAAAATACCTCTGGAAAAAATAAGTGGAAGAGAAAGCAAACTTTAAGTGCCATCTAGTGGCTGATCTACTAAAAGCATTGAATAAATCCAACGAATTCTTAACATGACAAATGGCTCATATAGTTGTAGCTGAACTGAGGAAGCAGTGCTTAAATTCACGACTGCTTAAGACCAGGTTAATACTTCGGGGAACCAAGAAAAGGACTAAAGGCCAACGGTATTGTTACCATGATTCTTCTTTTTTCTTTTGCCCCTAAGTTGTGAGTTCAAATGATAGGAATTGTACAGTGATCACGGTTCTCTTCAAGACCCTCATCAGCTTATCAGCTTCTGGCTTTCTAAGGAAATACAAGTCGTATGTATTTCAGTCTAAATCAGAAAACAGAACCTCTCAGGTCTCGAAACAGAACCCAAGCCATAGGAGTGAATCAAGCATCTGAATTCAGAAGTTACTTTCTCTAAATTCACCTGGGGTCAAAGGCCAGATTTTCTCTCTCTCTCTGCTTGTAACAAGTCAAATCCATTCCTAAAAGAAAGGGAGCAGATTGTCAGTTAGTAATATCCTTTTCATTTCCCTGCAGGAAAAAGCTGTTTTCTGCTGTAGATGAGAATTCCCAACAAATTATTTTCCACTGCAAAAGCTCCATGTTCCATTTACACAGGGGACATTCCACAAGATCATTCCCCAAGCTTTTAAGTAACTTCTCTTGGGAGATTTGTCCCTTCTCCAGCAGTAGCTTTGTCTGAACCTGTTCAGTGATAATGGAAAGCAGCCCAGCATAATTATTATTGAATGTAATACTCATTTCGGTTTTTTTGCAAATAGCACTATGGAGCTTTACATCTCTTCAGTTTCATACCTATATTGAGCCCTGGGGATTATACCTTAGTGACAGGTTTTGGAGAGAGGAATCTGTCTAGATAGAACTGAAATCTATGCATGTTCGTGTCTAGCTTCTCGGAAGGTTGCTTGCTCAAGCATGTTCAATTTTTCATTGAATTACAAAACTAATTTGCAACTAATTAATTTAGGGAGAAGGCTAGATCTCAGATATAGTAATGAACAAGATCCACCTGTTTCCAAGGTCTCTCTTCTTTCTGCTAATATAAAGATTTCACACATTCTGATTTCTGTTTAAGAGGATCAAACGTGCTAATTAAAGCTTAAAATGTACCAGAATAAAGAAGCAAAATTTAAACCTTGCTGAAGAAGTGCTGTTTTATCTTTTTTTCCCTCGCTTACAGGGAGAGGGTGATTTTTATGAGTCAGAGCCAGGGATACCTTGCCAGATACCAAGATCAAATACTTTTGTAGCATAGGTAATATTAATGGAAAAAGGAACACCAAAATAATTTCATACTGATGAAATTCTAGGACTTTCTTTATTAAAAAAAAAAAAGGGGGGGGGAGGGAGAAGAGGCAGCATAGTTTGAACCAGAAAATAGCAAATACTGTTGTTAGAATTCTCTACTCACTGCCAGTACAAAAAGTTTCTACAGATTTCAATACAGACCCTGGTCTGCAGTAGCAAGTATTGACTTAAGAACTTTCGATACATTGGTATGTAATTCTCGTTGCCTGGTTAGAAATATTTCTCTCCTATAGATTTACTACTCTTACTGAAACAAAACCCCAACACTAAAAGGAACTATCAGAATTTGTTACCCTAGTGCAACGGTTTGATGCAGAGGGAGGAGTTCAGTGTGGAGGTGAGCGTGAAAGCATTTGTTGTGTCAGATGAAGAGGCTTTTCCAGGGTCCTACTGGCAAGAGCCTTGCAAAAATCTTAAAACTCATTTCATGGTTCTATAGGAAAGTATTGAGAAATGGTGGAATGGAACTCAACTATACCAATTGTCAAAATAAGGGAGCTTTTTTTGGTAGACACTTAGATAACAGTCTGTATGCTAACAATTTACAGAAGGCATTGATTTGTAAATTTATGCTTCTTCCTTGTGCATCTGAGATAGCTTCTGAAACAGAGCTTTTTCTAGCAAATACCGTTCCTTCTTACGTTAGAACCTGAAGTATTACTTTCAAAACGGAAACAAGATCAGTTTCCAACAGGTACAACAGAGAAGTATCAACTTTTTCCTTGTAGCCTGCTGTTTCAAGCGAGATCATCTTGTAGTATCTCTTAAGAAGGACTTTCATCAGTGTATCCCCTCCTGTTTTTTTGCTTTGGGAATAGAGAGGGAACAAAAGAGAAGCCTAAACTTGCTCTCAACTTACTGCAGCTAGAGAAAAACCTTTTACACAAAAGGATAACAGTTATTTTAAGGTCTTTTAATATCTTTTGGTAATTGAAGTTCCTTTTGGCAGGTTATAGAACAGAAGGAACCTAGTGTTAAGATCAACTTTTCCAATTAATGAAAAACATCACTGGTAGGATGTACTTCTTGCTTACAACAGGCTTTGATGTGTTAAATGTGCTTATGAAGGTCTAGGTTCAGACAGTACAGTGTTGTGGTAGGAGTGGAGGGGGAAAAGAAAATGCTGGTAAGCATACAATGCACATAGAAGAAAGGACTTCTACCCTAGTCAAAGATGACTTCTTTCAGCGCTGCCAAGTCACTGTTGTGACCTTTCAGCTAAGGAAATCTAAAAGGAGAATACAAGCAGATGGGGGGGGAATACATTTGAGAGCATCACAACCTTTTCTAATCCTTTTCTGTTAAGTGGCCAAATACTCAAGACTCTTTCCTTTTGTCCTTCTCGTGTGCATGTTCTTCCACCTGAGAGTTTGAGTCATTAAGGGATTCTTACAGTTAAAGAAGCAATCGGGTTCAGGACAAATTCCAAGAGAGTTCTATGTTAAGCAGTCAAAACAGAACTGAAAAAATCAGTTTGTGTATTACTTCAGTAATTCAGAATCTTTCTTCCATACAGTGACTTATTAATGAATTTGTCAACGTGTATTTCAACAGCATATTTCATAGCATTTATTTACTATATAAGTTATTTCCAGATGACTTGAGTTACTTAGCTCAATCACTATTCCTATCTTTTAATAGAGAGCTGAAAAAACAGCTGTTTGAGGATCAGCAAAGGATCAAAGACAGAACTTTGGGCTTGAACAGAAACACAAGTATTTTCACAGGCTGTAGAAGATACAGTATTAAAGATCTTTGCCTTATTCTGATTTAGGGGTCAGAGGGGGAAGTCATATTGATACCTGCATTATCACTGATTTGGTAAGAAATAAGCCCTCAGCATGAAATACTGAGCTACACAGAAGATAGCTTTTAGAAGACTAACACAAACTAGCACAGGAACAATCAGCCATTTTAATTTAGGTAAGTAAAATAAAATCAAATAATTAATTTATTTTTAAGTTTATTAGAGCATAATCAGAACATAAGCAATGAGTTCTTATTACCAAGGACTGTACATCTAAAAAGCAAAAACAACACATCAACTAATCAATCAAGTTAGTCATGCACATTTACCCATAATGCAGATGAATTCACTGCCTATAAAAATGGACAGGACAAATACACGTAAGTCTGAATGAAACTTTTTTTTACATGTGCACCAAAATCCCACTTCTGTTTCAAATGAAAATTTAGAAATAACTTAAAAATTAGAATACATATTCAAATAATTTTCAGTTCTTTCCAGTAGAACCAAAGCCACCTTCACCACGTTCGGTGTCATCCAGAGCCTGAAAGACATCAATTATGGTAAGTTGGTTTAGTGTCTTAACTTCCCTTTTGTTTCTACACAACAGATAAGGTCTATCATACAGGAAAGTACATTTACCCGTAACAATAGGTATAATTGAGAAATTAAACAAAAAAATGTTGTTAAAGACTTCAGAATACCTTTTGTACAAGTTTAAACAAATCCTACATTGAGAGACAATTGTTTATAGGGTATACTGAGTGTTTCTCAAGTACCTGTTAACTCTGAAAACTACAGAGAAAAAAAAATCAATATAAATGTATGCAAAGCAACAAAACTTTTATTCAAGTAGCAATGCTACTACGCAGTTTTAAAGCAAAGTATTTAGGCCATAAATCTCAGCTTCTATAGAACTATCTACAACTATTAATTACTGAAAATTGAGAAATACTTTCTTTTGGCAACTTACTTGAACTTCTTCTAGCTCAGGATAGTAAATGCGTTCACAGATGAGCTGCGCAATCCTATCCCCTTTTTTGACTGCAATGAAATTATAATATTATTAGTTGCTTCAAAAAAGTAAACCAGCAATAAAAAGCTTAGATAATCCTCTTTTGAGAGTATCAGAATGTACTAAAGTGCAAACACTTATTTGAAACATAGTTAGACAGAAATTAATAGTGACAGAAAAACACAGGATAAGATAAACTTGTTTTTAAGTCCTTTTAAGGTGAAGTTTCAGGAGCAGTACCAGCTCAAGGCATTCCCCCTCATTCCTGCTGCCACCCATACTGTGGTATATTAAGTATCATTATGCATAAATACTGCAGAGATGAAGAGAGCTCTATGTATGATGTAACTCCTTGTGTGAACTAGTCCCAGAAACTGATTTCTATGGAGGAAAAAATCCTGAACTGATAAAAGGAAAACAGATTTTCTGATTAGCAAACTGGTTCACAGAACTGCCAGAAGTAGCTTGTGCTGTGAAGTGACAGAAAAGGCTGCAAAACCACTGGCCCTGAGGCTTAAAACTGTTTGCAGAGAGATAGCATGATTAAGGGAAAAATCATACCTTTATTATTCATGTTTCCAAGGTTTTTATCTCGCATACTAATCAGCTAAATGTTTGGTGATTTTTTGTGGAGCAAGAAAGCAGCTTAATAGAAAGTTGTGCTTCACTACAGCTCATGAATCTAAAGCTTAGCTAAGCTGAGTTGGTTTGGTGTGGTGGTGATAGTGTGTTTTGGGTTTTTTTGGGTGGTTTGTGGAATCTTTTTTTCTTTCCTTGACAGGGCATTGTTAAGTTTCTATGGTTTTATTAACTGTGAGAAGAAAATTGTTCTCAGCTAGCTGTAACTCTTGAGAGACTTTTAAAGAAAAATTATTTTCTCATTTCCAGTCAGAGGGCTGAAAACAGGCTCTGCCAAGCTTAACACTTACCTTCAAAAGTCTCCTTGCCAAAGTTGAAGAGTACCACACCAACATTTCCCCTGTAATCCTCATCAATAACACCAGCTGTCATAAAGGATAGAGGGATAACCAGTTAATAAATGTTGTTAGTGCAATAGGTAAGTAGGTTAGATAAGGCTTAGATTAGCAGATGATTGCAGTACCTCGTATTGACGTCCTCTGCACTGCTTGTGCACAATTAAACAATACATATGAAAACCCTGAAATATCTAGAAATGCTAATCAGTCCTGCAAAAAGAACTGAAAAAACACAATCACATATCAAAAAGTGTTTTACTAGTGTGCTACTAATTTTAGTTGTAATACACTATCTGAAATCAAGACAGCTGGACCAAATTCAAGCTCCATTTGTTCTGCTAACTTCAGCTTTTTGCGCATCAAGCAGAAATCTGTTTTTAAACTCTAACATTTTATTTGAGAGCTATGGATTTGTGCAGATCCAAACCCTGGACCTCAGGCAGGGTAAAAGAACAAAAGCTTTAAGGAATTGTCATTCAGCTACATTTAAGTATAAATACTGTAACAAAAGCTTCCTCTTACATTTTATTTAATTATTAATACATAGTTCAGAAGATTATCTATGAATATACATTAAAATAATCATATTCTGCTTCTTTGGAGTTTTTCTCCAGACACAGGAAGCACATTTGCAGTAAGAAAACTGGAGTTTGGGCTTCCTTGCAGACTAAAGTATGTATTTTGAAGTCTCCTTGCAGTAGTAATTTGTATTCTACAATTACATGTCATTCCAAGACTCCCAGACTATCACACAAAGTACTACCTTTAGAGATTATAAACCCTAGAGGAAATCGTAGCATGACTATACCTTGAAGTTTTAATGTTTTACCACAACATACATATTTAAGAATAGAAAACTGAGGTATTTTTTTTCTTCAGCTGTGTGACAATATTGCAGTACATATGGTCCACAGTTACTGTACAATGTCTGCACTAGTTCTAGTATGTAAAAGGTATTTACACAGCTCTTTCTCTTGCAGTGTTATAGGTTAATCTAATCACATTTCTGAACAGCTTCCTAATTAAGGTGCTAGTAATACTGGGAGTATCCCGAATTCTGAAAATTCAGAAAAAAAAAACCATTTTTCCAGATAACTCACAGGTATTTAACTGCATACAATTTCTTGAAGGGGCCCTAATTACAGAGCACTCTCAGCAGTAACAGTGCACAATACATAGGGGTTGGTGTGCATGGAAGTTTTCAAGAAAAATAAAATTAAATTATTGAATGTAACATTCAGTTCAGCTGATTCAGAGAGCTTGATGTACAGAACCTACATGCACAGGTCTCATGCTGTTCATTTGGTTTAGGTTAGACCAGCCTTCAGAAAGTAACAACTATACCATCAGTTAAATTGAGGATCACAGGACACCACTTTCACTGGTGATCACAGATTCCTTGCACAATTTCTACCACAGTTCAGTGTTGCAAATGAATACTTAAAGTATTAAAAATAAAATTCTACGTGCAAGTGTCAAGTGTATAAGCAAAAAAGGCTGAACTATAAAACAATAACATGAAAATTTTGCCTTCTTATTTCTAGGGAAGTACTTACTCCTTCCTCCTTTTTAATATATCAGAAAACTTACAGCCCTTACATTAATTGCTAAACCAGGGGTGACAATAGCTGAAGACCGCTACACAGATGATTTGCTTTTTTTTTCATACAATAGGAGACACTGAGTCCATGCTACATGGATGCATTACAAAGAGAGAATCAACAAACTTGTAATAGCAGCACAGATAATTCTATGCATCATTCAAATTCTGAATTCAGTTTCCTGTTAATTTGGTGTATTTGTTCATGTGAGGCAATCAGCCGGAGAACTGGAAGCCAGAATTCAGATTTGGCACATAAAAAATTAAGTACATATGCTCATAAATGCATTAAAAAAAACCCCAACAAACATGAGCTCTTTGGTTTGTCAAATTAAGAATTTATCCATTCTCAAGTGTTTCTCTACAGCTAAGACAACATTTTCCTAGACCATAAGATGGGATATATATTGCTATGCACTAGAGATCGATGATGGAATTTGCTAATTTAAAATAACGATGGACAGCTTTATTTCTTTTATAAGACAGTATTCTACTCTAAGACAATACTCAAAACTGATTCGATTACTAGTTCTATTCCAATAGAAATTATGATTTTATATGTATAAAATGTACCAATTAAAATAGTATGGTTAGAAGAAAGTCTTGCCTATCAGTTCTTCCAGAATTATCTGAAGAAAATTTATAAAAGAACAACTGGGGCTACTTGAAGTCATTCTAAATTAGCTTTTCTGTCTTCAGGTCTCTGACAGTAAGAAAGTTTATTTCTACATAATGACAAAAATTGCACTTGATGTACTGGTTAGTGCTCAACCACTAATGAAGCTTTTTGATCTACCAGATGTTGCTGCTATTTTCTGGGAGAGAAAACTCAGTAGTATCTGAAACTTAACTTGTATTGGAGTAACTGGAGCTTAACAGAACATTAGTACTTCTACCCTTTGTTAAACCCCAGACCTTTTTTGTTTGGTTGGTTGGTTGGTTTTGGTTTGTTTTGCTTTTTTTTTTCCCTGGAAAGGAGTGTTGCAATTGATCTATGCTGATTTACAATGAATCTAGCCAGATGCTTCCTCGACCTTTAAACAATAGCATTAGCACAACCTCAGCTTTATGTATAGACACTAATTTTACAAGTATTGTTGAAAAGGCTGTCATCAACACATAGCTCTATAAACAGACACCAGATTTGTTTGATCACCTATTTGACTACTGCTAGAGACTGGCTTTCTAGGACTTGAAAACTATCAGACAAGTAAAAATGGAAAAGCCAGATGAATATTTCTGTGGCTGAATTGAAAGCCATACTGAAAACTTAAAGTCACTTGTATTATGCGCTAGAGGGGAAAAAAGGCTCTCACTACAACTCTAATTTTCTAAGCTTAGCTATAAAGTAAACATCTTGCAGTGGTTCTACAGATTGTATTGGATGTATTTTCTAGCAGACAAGAATTGTACTTTCTGCACGCTTCTGAGGATGAAATATATCCATAGGATGCAGAGAGGAAAAGCAGGCTTCTTCCTTAAAAGCAAAGCTGATACAAACAGAACTTTAAACAATTAGAGTTGAAGTTATGTATTAAGAAAATAACATTTAAAAAGATGTGTTGTGGCCAAAACAATTAGTCTCATGCTGGGCTGAGTGACTGGTGTCTGCATGGTGTCAAAGCCATGATAATTTCAAATTCCATTAAAGGCACAGCTAGTTAAACATTCTGTGAAATGAATTCCCTACTAATCATTTTCTCTTTAAATGTATTATACCTCCACTGACATAGTCTTACCAAGTTTAACCACAATGTGGATTTTGAGTTCAAATTTCACTATTTGTATTAAAGAAAGAAGAAAATATGACCTAGGAAGATCTGATGAGTTTTCCTTCTGTACAGGGTCACAGACTCGCTCTATGTAATTGAGTGTACTGGCAAAACATATTAACATCCTTGGCATCATGTTATTCTGGAACAGCAAGTTGCAATAAATATATACATTGCTGACAACTAAGGCACTAGGTGTATTGGGTGGAAATCATCTAAGTAAGTTTTGGAAAAAATCATGCATTGGAAATGACAGTCTGACATTCTGTTTTATTCTGTCAGAAGTTGGGCATATTACTTGCTGGGAAAGCATCTACACCTAGCAGATGTGAATTCTGAATATATTCTTGCATGATCCCAAATGTTCTCCCTGATCCTTAGGTCATCTGGCAGTGTATTTCTACTTAGACGGGTAATGCCCTCATTGTGACAAAAATACTTCTGCAGGGTAAGTAAAATGCTTTTCTTATCAACTTCCATTATAACTCAAATTATAATGTGCTCAGAAAAAATTCATTCTCTCAGCCACTCAGCACTTCTGAAGATATCCATTAGATGCATCTTCTTTACATCATCATATCAGAAATGTAGTTTTGAGTTCTTCTCCTTCGCTACTGTCAGAAAAATTAATTGCTTAGGGGTTTAGGTGGCAGAACACATTTTATTTAACTTAAACTGTATTCTTGTATAATTAGAACCATGTAACATGCACTTATGCTAGTTAAATTGCTGTGGTTACATCTGTGCTCAGAATAACTCTACAGTCATTTTAGCGGCGACAACTTCTGTGCAATGTAGATGCCATTTTATAATACAATAGTTAAAGAGAATCTGCCTGTGCTCTCATCAGCCCCACTGCAAAAGTGGAATAGAACTTTCAACATCATTTACTTCATGTTGCAGTTATATGACAAAAGCATAGCAAGACTTTCATGAAGGCCTCCTTATAGATATGCCTGTAACAATTGCTTTTGAGGAGATATCCATGAATTTCTAAACAAGATTAATGAGAAGCTCAAAATATTTAAAGAAACACCCTGTTGTGCAAAACAAAGCTGTTGGTAGTACTGAGCAAAACACCCCGAACAGTAAAGACTTGTAAAAGTGGGGGTTTAATTTTGTTTTGTTTCAAAACACTTTCAATTTTTAAGTCAATTAATGTAAAAATTTATGACTTTAAATTTCATTTGCTTTAAGTGATTTGTTACATTTTCATCAGTAAGAGTAAACTAAAGCTCTTTTCATCCTAATAATCAATTATACCCACAGTAATGGTGTATTCCAGTGCCATCTTCATTCCTTTTGAATATCGTTACTATTCTCTGTTTAAAAGAATATCTATGTTTTATTGATTTAATTATTCAGATTATACACTAGACTGAGAAGAATCACACACTTAGTCAAAATGGAGAAAGAATGTAAAAAGTCATACTGTTTTTTTGTTTTGGTCTGGTGTTTTTTTTTTTGGGGTGTCTTGTTTTGGGTTGGTTTTTGTGTTTTTTTTTTTAAAAGTAGTATTTTTCTAATTCAGCAGGTCTTAAAATAATTACAATGCAGTGGCTCTATGAGGTATTACCCACTTACCTCCTTTTCCCAGACCATCACTGAAGCTAGCATTATTTATTTGCATGTATTACAATGTGAAATTAAGGCACTTCTGCAGTAAGGTTTACAAAGTCTTAGTGAAAAGAACAAAAATCTTACCACCAACATCTATGAAGTGCTTTGCAGCTAAACCAGAACGTGGTGCTAGAAAACAAGAATTGTTTTGTAAGTACAATAATTTATTTATTTTAGAACTCTTACACAGTATTTATAGGTTACATAGTACATTTACACAGTCATGGCAGCAAGAACTGTTTCCACAGACTTTCTAAAATAAACATGATTTTACAGGAACTATTGTGTTAATGTACATATTAAACAAAATGACAGCTGCTACAGGCTACAACAAAAATGCAATCTATCTTTAAGTGATATAAGCATATCTTTGTTTAGACCACCATGTGCACAGTAGGCTTCCCCAAGGTAGGCAGCTGCAACAGACAACAACTGTCTAATCTTGGTTTATTTTTGGTACTACCACTGGTTTGGCATAATCTCAAAAGATTATTAGTTTCCATCATCCATTCAAGTGATGATGGAAAACAGTATTTGGCAAGCATTTTTCTAAGAAATAGACACAAATTATGTACAGAGCTTTGTTTTTATTATGACAACCTACTTTGAGGTGCTAAAACTCACCTTTCTTCAAATTTTTCTTTGGGATTAGACACATGCATTTTCCTTTCATATGAAACAACACACAAATTCTGATCATGCTCTTCCATTGGAGTAACTACTGTTTTTTTTTAAAGAATTTATACGTAATTCAGAAAAAGAATTCACAAAACTAACACAACTAACACAGTATCTTGCCAGGTTCTCTCAAGTACTCTGTCATAAAAAGTAGTCAAATTCTACTATACTAGTACTCTTACTTCAGGATTAATTTTTAAACACTAAAGCATGTGTTTTCTGCATGTCCATTATCTGTTGGTCTTTGTGATTTGAATTCTGAAACTGCAGAGAAATAATGAACTACTGAATAGCCTATTAAGTTGTATGTAGATTATGATTTTTGCTAGTGGTTTTTTTTTGTCATTTGACATACAAACCTCAAGTGTATTTGACAGCAAATGTCTATTACAAAGCTTAATAATAAATTATGCAGCCTGTGAGGCTTTTTTTTTTTTTGTGTAAACTAATTCTAAAAGTTTTAGGCAGAATCAAAAGGAGAGGATGGTGTCAAACCAGTGGTACAATGACTCTGCAGCCTTTTTATAATCTGTTTACTTACCTACTCGGCCATAGCATCCAGAAGGAAGCGCAACTTGAATGTCTGTTTTCACTACAGCCTTTCCCATGGGTGGTACCTCACAGTCATAAGCACTATATTAAAGAAACACACACTAGTTTATACAGGGTATTCTGAAAATTTTCTCTGTAACTGAAATGTTTCCTTATGAAATGGACTTTTTCCAGGTGTATAGTGCATCACTGGAACAAGGGGAAAAAAAAACCCAGCTGTAAAGGCAAAAATACTAGTGTCAAGTGTGGTGCAGCAAAGCTTCAGGAAGGAAGCTGGGCAAAGGAAAAAAAGGGCTGATTATTTTAATACTAAAAAAGGGAAGATAGGAGTGGTCACAGATATAGTGATTGTACCTGATCACAGAAGCCCTATGCAAACCACCACATACCTAGCTTCAGATATTACTGACCAATGGTTATTTTAAGTTCAAGCAAACCCAACCTTAAGCCTGTACACAGCAACCCACGTGGTTACCAGCATTATCAAACTGCCACAACGTTTTCTGGCACGTGGCACTCAACAGCCATGAGGAAAGCAGAAAAGCATAAGCGCTGGCAGGGAGGGCCACATGCACTACCCAGGAAGGTACTAGTTAATGTTGATGCCAACAGCAGCTCGGGCTGATGTGTCAAGACTGCATCGCTACCTGATGAACTCGATGCTGCAGCATGACTGGACCACAGGTCTCTGGAAACCAAGGGAGAGGGATGGAGAAGCAAGGAGCTAACGAACAGGCCAGCTCTTCACAGGGTGGGCGAGCCTCTCGTGGGGGCTCTTCTCAGCATGAGGACTCTCAGCCGCCGGAGCTTCGAGTCATGATGGCTCGCTAAACGGGGTGGCAGCGCTTGTCCCCAGGGAAAAGCGGGCAGGGCCGGGACGGGCCAGAGCGTACCGTGGGCCCCTTCCCGCGGCGGGTACCCTCACCTGTACAGATCGTAGCCCGCAGCCCGAGCAGAACCCTTAGAGGGGGAGAAGGCGTTCTCAGACAGCTTAGTGAAGCGGAGCCGAGCGGTGGGCTCCCCGGGCACCGAGCCCTTCTGCCTCTTGCTGGGGGACGGCTGCAGCACGGCTTCGGAGGAAGGCATCGCTGGTAGGGACGAGAAGGGAATACAGACACCCCGTGAGGAAAAAGCCCGCGAAAAGGCGGCGCAGCCCACTGAAGGCGGAAGCAGAGGGGGAAATCGCTTCTTCCCCGGCCGCTCTCTGCGTGGTGCACCCTTGCCACCCCTCGCCGGTGAGAATGGCCTCGCCCGGCTCCTCCTCAGCGCCCAAACCCCCGGCCCTGAGGTGCCCCGGAAGGCACCGGTGTCTCCGCCGGGGAAGGGGGGAACTCGCGGTCCCGGCGAATCGTGGCCCGTCCTGGTCGCGGCCGGCCCGCAATGCGCCCGGGCAGCTTGTGCTCCCCCCGCGCCTCCCGCTGTTCCCTTACTGCTCCAGCGGAGCCGCAAGAACAGCTTCATGCTCCGGGACAGCATAACGCCGCGCCTTGCGGGGCCGTGCCGCCGTCTGCCGCCAGGCGCAACCCCCGGCGGTCCGGCGGTAACAGGCCCGCGGCGCGCAGGCGGAGGGCGGCGGCACTCCCTTCTTCCCGCTTCCTCCCCTTCCCGGGCTCTACCTGTCCTGCGGCGCGATGCAGTCCCTCCGCCAGTGGCCCGGCACCGCTGCCCTCCGCGGGACAAGTCGGCGCTTGTCCTGCCGGTGGACCCCGCCGGCGTTCCGCGTTGTAGGGGGACGCAATTGAGGCTGCACGGCGGGCGGGGCCCGGGCCCCGGGCCCGTTGCGGGAGCGTGGTCGTGTCACCGAGCTGCGGTGCCGGGGAGAAGCGCGGAGGCGCCTTCGGTGTGTCCGGGGCTGTTACAGCCCCTTCAGAGCTGCCGCGTCCCCCAGCCCCGTTTTTGATCCGCACAGCAGGAATGCGTGGCGTCTGACAGTGCTGCCCTGCGTCCTTCTGAAATAACCTGCACGCTCAGGCAGCGGCAGAAGCGTTTGCCGTAGGAAGGCAAAACCGCTTCCCCTCCTTGTCGAGGCGGCAGATAGCAAAACCCATCAATGCGCCACATGCCTTGTTCTTCAGTCTCACAGCAGAATCCTTTAATGATTTCACCATCTTTGATGTTGGCATTGGCTGCTCTCTTTTGCCATCCCATCTGAAAAATGCTCCTCATGATCCCCTCGCACAGCCACCCCTTATCTCTTCCCATAGTGACCCACACTGTAGCTGCCGCCCCCTACCCCTCATGGTCACCCTTTACCTCCCCTCAAGATCTGCCCCCATGGCCACCCTTGCTCTCCCCTCATGATCTCCCCTCATGATGCCCCTCATCTCTCAGCTGCCCCTCTTGCCCCTGCTCCTCCTCCTTGGCCTTGAGCACTCTGATGGCTGTATTTTTCTTCGTGCAAAGTAGACACAGGATGGAGCAGTCTAGATTAAGTCAAGCAACTGTTCTTTGACTTTTTAAAGATTCAAGTGTATGTGATTGTCTCCTTGCTATGTTACATGTTTCAAATGCAGCCAGATGGCAGTGAAACCATTGCTACATATTGCAGTCCAATTGTGAAAAATATTCCCCCCAATTTGCGGTTTGTTTTATTGCCATTCTTCAGTCTTAATAGAATCATAGAATCATAGAATAGTTAGGGTTGGAAAGGACCTTAAGATCATGTAGTTTCAACCCCCCTGCTGTGGGCAGGGACACCTTACGCTAAATCATATCACCCAAGGCCTCGTCCAACCTGGTCTTGAACACTGCCAGGGATGGAGCATTCACAACCTCCCTGGGCAACCTATTCCAGTGCCTCACCACCCTAACAGAAAAGAATTTCCTCCTTATATCCAACCTAAACTTCCCCTGTTTTAAGTTTTAACCCGTTACCCCTTGTCCTATGACTACAGTCCCTAAGGAAGAGTCCCTATCAAGCATCCCTATAGGCCCCCTTCAGATACTGGAAGGCTGCCATGAGGTCTCCACGCAGCCTTCTCTTCTCCAGGCTGAACAGCCCCAACTTCCTCAGCCTGTCTTCATACGGGAGGTGCTCCAGTCCCCTGATCATCCTCGTGGCCCTTCTCTGGACTTGTTCCAACAGTTCCATGTCCTTTTTATGCTGAGGACACCAGAACTGCACACAATACTCCAGGTGAGGTCTCACAAGAGCAGAGTAGAGGGGCAGGATCACCTCCTTCGACCTGCTGGTCACACTCCTTTTGATGCAGCCCAGGATATGGTTGGCTTTCTGGGCTGCAAGCGCACACTGCTGGCTCATGTTCATTTTCTCTTCAACCAACATCCCCAACTCCTCCACAGGGCTGCTCTGAATCTCTTCTCTGCCCGGCTGTGCCTGGGATTGCTCCGACCCAGGTGTAGGACCTTGCACTTGTCATGGTTAAACTTCATGAGGTTGGCATCAGCCCACCCCACAAGCGTGTCGAGGTCCCTCTGGATGGCATTCCTTCCCTCCACGGTATCAACCGAACCACACAGCTTGGTGTCATCGGCAAACTTGCTGAGGGCGCACTCAATCCCACTGTCCATGTCAGCGACAGAGATTTTGAACAAGACCGGTCCCAACACCGATCCCTGAGGGACACCACTCGTTACTGGTCTCCAGCCGGACATTGAGCATTGACCACAACTGTTTGTGTGCGGCCATCCAGCCAGTTCTTTATCCACCGAGTGGTCCATCCATCAAATTGATGTCTCTCCAATTTAGAGACAAGGATGTCGTGTGGGACAGTGTCGAACGCTTTACACAAGTCCAGGTAGATGACATCAACTGCTCTACCCCTGTCCATCAGTTCTGTAGCCCCATCATAGAAGGCCACCAAATTGGTCAGGCAGGATTTCCCCTTAGTGAAGCCATGCTGGCTGTCACCAAGCACCTTGTTGATTTTCATGTGCCTTAGCATGCCTTCCAGGAGAATCTGCTCCAAGATTTTGCCAGGCACAGAGGTGAGACTGACTGCTCTGTAATTCCCCCGGTCATCCATTTTCCCTTCTTGAAAATGGGGGTTATATTTCCCTTTTTCCAGTCATCAGGAACTTCACCTGACTGCCATGATTTCTCAAATATGATGGCCAGTGGCTTCGCAACTTCATTTGCCAGCTCCTCCATTTGCACAGTCCCTGCATCTGCCTTCCAAGACTTGGGTGGTGTGGTCAGAGCCTTTGCCAGTGAAGAACGAGGCAAAGAAGCCATTCAGAACCTCAGCCTTCTCCAAATCCTGTGTAGCCAGTTCTCCCGAGAGCTTCTTGAGGGGGCCTACATTCTCCCTAGTCTGTTTTTTATTTGCTACATACCTGTAGAATCCCTTCCTGTTATCTTTAATACCTCTAGCTAAGTTTAATTCTAACTGGGCCTTTGCTTTCCTAACCTGGTCCCTGGCTTCCCGGACAACACCCCTGTACTCTTCCCAGGCCACCTGTCCTTACTTCCACTTATTATAAGCCTCTTTTTTCATTTGAATTTTCCTCAGGAGCTCCTTATCCATCCAAGCAGGTCTCCTGGCCCTCCTGCTGCACTTCCTTCTGGTTGGGATGCAACACTCCTGAGCTTGTAGCAGGTGATCCTTGAGTATCAGCCAAGAGTCTTGGGCTCTAGGGCTGTATCCCATGGAACCTTCCTAAGCAGGTTCCTGAAGAGGCCGAAGTCTGCTCTTTTGAAGTCCAGGGCAGTGAGCTTGCTGCACGCTCTTCTCACTGTCCTGAGGATCTCAAATTTGACCATCTTGTGATTGCTGCATCCAAGGCTGCCCTGGAGTGTCACGTTTCCAACGAGCCCTTCCCTGTTGGTGAGCACGAGGTCAAGCATGGCACCTCTCCTTGTCGGCTCCTCTATTACGTGCAGAAGGAAGTTGTCTTCTACACAATCGAGGAACCTCCTGGATTGCTTGCGCCAGGCCATACCGTCCTTCCAACAGATGTCAGGGTGGTTGAAGTCCCCCATGAGAACAAGGGCCTGTGAGCGTGAGGCTTTTCCTATCTGTCTATGGAGTGCTTCATCCGCAGGTTAATAGTGAGCACTGCTTGAATGAGGATGTGTATGTATGTATCATAGACCCATGTGAAAAAGCTACTTAGAATATTTTACGAATTCTGAGGTAAGCCATCCACAGACTGATGTTTATAAGAATTTAAGTTGTATCACATGAGTACCCAATTATAAATGGTTATTTATACAAGCAGAACTTCATAGAGGTTACAACTGCAACCTGCCTTATAGTGTAGAGAAGGACTAATCTTATGAATAGTTTGGCTCAGTGAGGCAGGCTGGGTTCTAAACAGCATCTATGGTATCCTGAAAGTCCATGAAAAATAGATAGGAGGAGTCCTCCAAACATGTTGTCAAGGAGAAAGGTTTTAGCTGAGTGACACTTCTTTTTCCCACAGATCTTTACAAGGAAAACAACCCAGCTGCTTGAAGTCTGGGAAAGTTTGTGTGGGTCCTGGAATGTGCTGTTTCTTCTGTAGATAAATAGTCCCTTGGTCAACATTACTGCCTTCTTGATTGCTGATTAGTGTTGCTCTCCACTGGGCATTTACTCCCGCCTTTGAAAAACAACGAGACAAACTGAAATTATCTGCCCTTTACCTAGATTAAGAGCAGAAGTGGAGGCTGCTTTGTTGTGCGCAGAAAGAAACACAGACCTTCTCTCCAGGACAACAATCCATAAAATTCTCCCCACTGAAGTTTTGGTGTTAGAATTGAGCGTTTTTCTTAGAAGAAAACTGTGGCTTTAACAGACAGATTGCCCACCCAGTGTAACTTAGAACAGCTGTCTTTCTCACAGTGATTAAGGCTTGTGATTTAAAAGGCTGCTGTGAGGATGTTTACTTATAATGAAGCTCTATTTTTGATCGTGTGTTTTGCTGTACCGTGTGGGGGCTGTGAAATTTTGCCATTGCTTTTTACTCTGTTCCAGAAAAACCTTCTTTCTTTATTTCATTTGAAACTGAATTTCCTCTGATGAAATTCCAGCAGTGGCATGACTGTGGGTTATTGCTCTTCTTGTTTGTGCAGAATGTGAGCTACAACTTGTTGTATTTGTTTGTTGTTGTGCTGGCAGAGCTACATTTTCCATTTTTCCTAGCAGAGTCAGGCCCAGTGTGAGATGTTCCCTCAGCAGAGCTGGCCATGCAGTCTTGCTGGGCTACATAGCTGCCAAGTGGCCATGCCAACCAGGTACCACAATGATAGGTGTTTACAGTGGTCTGATGTATGCTGAACCGCACTGTTACAAACAAGGTTTCCTCACCTGTAACTTGAGAGCTGAGCCAGTCATTTGCAGCACATTAAGGGTTTAGTGTCCTTCTGATAAAAGGTAAAATCTGGTTGCTGGGGAGACAAAGATCAGGTCCTGAGAGTGATCCTAAGTCACTTAATTGAAGTCCAGTGACAGTCAAACTATGTTAAGCAGCAGTTTGAGGGACACCACTGCACCTCAAGCTGAAGAGGCTGGGGGTTGCTCAAATTCTGTTCTCCCAGCTCTGTTGGTAAATCAGGGACCTCTGCCAGAGAGCAGGTGATGAACAGGTATGGGGAATTAAATGAGTCACTAATAGCTAAAACTCTGTAACTGTTTGCCCCATATCTATAACTTGAGTGCTAATTTGTGTTACGTGTTGTATGTCTGTTGCTTTTAAACTGCTCATTAGTTGCTGAAACTGCTTTTGTTTTTAAGAAGATCATGGAATTGTTTTGAAAGACAAAAGCTGAGGAATGGCCAGGTTTTCTGAGAATGAAGGGTAGCCTGATACATTTTGCTTAACCAAGAAGGCTT